AAGTTGGGGGGGGGGGGGCAGATAGGCCAATCGATGCTCATATTTCATGGTGTGCCCTTTCAGTTCATCGTATACGATAGGCTGGACGGATAGCTGACTGCGCCTACCGCTGGGCCATGAGCAGAACCCAGTATTCTCGGTCATTCAAGACAGCGCAGAAGGTGGCAACACAAGACAAAGTCGACCACAGGCCAAGGCACTTCTTTGCCTTGTGTTGCCGTCCATTGACTTTAAGAATAAAATATCCCGGTTTGACATTCTGTTTCAATATATGACTGCTGATCGGTGCAACAAAAAAAAAACAACATTAAACTTTAATGCTCTTTAATGTGGGCCAGTGTACTTTGCAGTAAAGAATGTACGTATAGTTTGTTTCATTGCGAGCCTTCACTCATGTCTTGTGTAACGAGTGACGTCAAAAATTTTCACATTATTTTATGCTATACTTTTTTTTTGAAAAGTTCCTTTGCTGCAGTTTAATATCGAGACTGAACTGTATGCTATGGTTCATATAAATATTTAGTGGGGCCAATGCCGTGTGGCAGTGTCAACACTTTTTACTAGTTGTGGCTTACTGAGTAGAATATTATAACCTAACTTAAGAAATAGCATTGAGGTTTATAACTTAGACATGGCCCCACCCCGGTGGTCTATAGTGGCTAAGGTGCTCGGCTGCTGACCCGCAGGTCGCGGGATCGAACCCCGGCGGCGGCGGCTGCATTTCCGATGGAGGCAGAAATGCTGTAGGCGCGTGTGCTTAGATTTAGGTGCACGTTAAAGAACCCCAGGTGGTCGAAATTTCCGGAGCCCTCCACTACGGCGTCTCTCATAATCATATGGTGGTTTTGGGACGTTAAACTCCACATATCAATCATCATAACCTATAGACTGAAGAAATGTTCAAAGGGGACATCCGTATGAAAAGTGCTCATGCGGAGAACGTTCGAGGCACTTTTTGTAGACCAATAAAGATAGATGCCCTTTGACAGTTGGCTTATTGAACACATGTATAGTTAATCTAGGCGCCCGCATCAAAGTTACTTAGTTGCGTTGCCAGCGCTTTAAAAGTGGAAGTAGTATCAGGACATGATAAACCATCTCAATCTCACAAGCGACACCATCTCCCTCTATCTATAGGGACAAGGGCCTTCACTTGACTTTGTTGGGGAGGACGAGGAGCGAAGTGAACGCAGTGTATAGCGAAGCAGTATCTGGTCGTCGATAGAACCTCGTCAAAACGTTTGATAATTACGGTTTTTTAAAGAGAAATTAAACAATGCCCGTGTTGAAACTGGGCTCGACTCAGATGAACAGATATTGGCGAAGGCAGGTGCTCAATCACAGGTTGGTGTTGCGAACAAAAATACTTGTGATTCAAGTACTGTGATTGATATTGATTGATTGATATGTAGGGTTTAACGTCCCAAAACCGCCATTTGATTATGAGAGACGCCGTAGTGGAGGACTCCGGAAATTTTGACCACCTGGGGTTATTTAACGTGCACCCAAATCTGAGTACACGGGCCTACAACATTTCCGCCTCCATCGGAAATGCAGCCGCCGCAGCCGGGATTCGAACCCGCGACCTGCGGGTCAGCAGCCGAGTACCTTAGCCACTAGACCACCGCGGCGGGGCACAAGTGCTGTGATTACGAACAGACCGAAGACACTTATGGAAAGTAAACTTTCGGCTTTGGTCAAGAGCGATTGAAACGAACACTTTATACGCTCCGCAGAGAATCGCGCCCGCATTGTAATGAACAAATGCGGTGCCCTCGATTCCCGACGATGCATTGATTCACGTAAGTCGTATAGTACTGTGGACAAACAGAACGTTGACGCGGTGAACAACATCTTAAGAAGACGAGGAGAACGCTGTGATGTTGAAATGCAAATGAGTTTCAGCATCGCGAGGTTATAGGATGTTGTATGTTGCCGGCGGATACAGTAACGTGAGGGCCGTATGCCGTTAGCAGCACTTCGGCCACTTATAAAGTGCGCAAACGCACGACACGGCTAATCCGCAAACCTGGCCCCCAAGCTAGCTGCGGATCGGTTATCACGCGCTAAGCTTGCATTATATCGTCAGCGATAGTATACAGTTTCAGTGCTAAGGTGTAGCAAGGTGCTTATCTAAAATATTTTCGTCCAAAGTATGCAGATAAGAATCTGGTTGAGCGCCTGGTTTCCTCGTCTGCTATTGCAATAAACGCAAGGACACGGATTGCCGCGTTTCGATATTCTGCTAAGAACGATGATTAACTTTGTAGCGCGCAAGTAGCGCCATATCGCTACTTGCGTTGTGTGAAAAAATAATGATGTCATTTCTGGCCCAACCAAACCGTTCTTTGTTTCAGTCGATCCTAACGATTGGATAGCCGCATTCGCCTTTCCTTACCCATTATTTATTTTTATTTGTCTGCTATGATGCGCCGACTAAACGGTGACTGTAAACATTGTGAAGCTTAGGCGGTGCTGGATCAGCCGTCGTGGGAAATGAGGGAGTAGCTTATTTAAGAAACCACCTTTCAGACTGTGTAATGATATACTGTGTATATCCGTGCAATTGAAGTGTAAACTTCCTCGTCTTTGCAGAGATATTTCATGTGTTTACTGCTGCGAAGCCCGCGAGAGCGGAAATGCTATGGCCCCACTGCGAGAGCCGTGTCCGCTAGGCGTTTATTATTGCCGCGGAGCTCGAGTTTGTCGAGTGGCCTTCAACGCGAGCAAAGTTGCGATGTCACGCCGAACGACAACTTCCACGTTGACAAGCCTACCAAGAACGTTTCTAGCAGGCTACGTTTAGCGAGAAAAACGAAAGTCATCGGTATATATTTCACCCGATCGTCCTTCTTGCTTAGACGTGGCCGACGAAAAGTGCCATGTGGATGAGACAATTTGTAAAAACATGTCAACTGGGCATGTCATTCAAATGCCAACACGTGCGAAAACGAGACGACCTGCGAAAGCATGGTGGGATAGTAGCACCTGAACCTCGCCCTGGCTTAGTGGAGTGCGTGGTGAAGCCAGTCACATGTATAGGCGTATACACTGCAGTATAAGTAAGCACCTCTACTTAGCACGTCGTATTGCGGGGTTGGCTGGATTAGCTTATCCGAAAGTGTTTTTTTTTTTTGCGAGAGACAACACGCGGCACAACACGTCACGGCGGGTGTAAGTTAAGCCCTATTGCTATTTCAGTACAGGCTGAACAAGACTTGCCCCGTCGCGTACTCTCTACTGCTAGTATTGTGGAAGGAGTCCAAACTGCGGCTGCCATTTTGTTCTGTTTTTTGATCGATATTTTTTTCGACTTACGTCGAGTTATTGGCTGTGTGGGTGTGGAAATTTGAGGCGCACAGATCGGCTGATAGGCCATGAGGGAAAGTAGCAATTCCATCTGCATAGAAAAATAGATCGACTTTGGTCTGTACACAGGCACGCTAATCGTGCAACAGGCGCTGAAGTACGTCCCATGCACTCATGGTAGCGTGCACTTGAAATGCAACCATCTGCATGGCTGCAGCCGTAACGGCTACTGAGAAAAAAAAAAGAAAGCAAAGGAAGTTACTTGTCCGTACAATGGTCATTTCTAAACTTTGTGCTATGGCAATGCGCGAAGGAGCCACGAAGCTAGGAGGGATGCATGCACCCATCTCGAGGCCAGATTAAATGTCATAAAGTGTATTATATCCTAGAGCACAATGCCATTCGAGACCATGCACATCTTCCTCCGAAAAATGAAGGATGCTCTCTGAGACCGCCTCATTTCGGGTGTCCCAGAATAGCCTCTCTTCAGAAAAAACAAACAAAACGAACTCGTTGGTTTACATAAACGCGATTCCTAAGCACGATTTTTTTTTCATTGCGCGCAAAAAAATCTAAATGATTGGTTCGATAACAATGGCGAACGGGACACGGTGTTCATGTAATAATCATTCGCTTTACGAATTTTCGCCAGGATCACAGCGTTACACCCAGCTATTCTCGACAAAAACTAGTTGAACACAGAGTTAATTTTCCTCGCAATGACCACGACTAGGAAACATTTTGGCCTCACAACTTCATTATTAATGGCCAGATAGTGCTCTGCGCAAGCATACATAGTGGAATGCTTGTGATGCGCAGAGGTTTCCGTTGTATAACCTGTCAAGGGCGTCTTCCTGGTTCCAATTTTTTCGGGACGATAGTACGCGGCGTTTATGAACTACCCTTGTCATCAGAGAAGGCGCCTTGGAGGTGAGCGGCATCGTGCTCATGGTAAATGCAACGTGATGCATGCCGCCTGCTTTCTCGACCATGCTTCTACATGCAATCATTACGCTACAGTAAAGCTAAAACGAACTCTAAAGGCTCATTACCGTATAGACTACACTTCAGACCTCCGTGGAATGCCTTCTGGAAAGCTCACGGTCATATATTATTTCATGCGACCAATCCTGGTCCTCAACGATGGATCTGAATCTGTTGATATTGCAGCTCCCCCCGATTGTTTGGTTTTGTTTCTTTTTCAACCCCGCTGCGGTGTGTACCCACTGAGTAAAAAGGTAACTCCAGAATGTCGCATAGAAGCGAGGACAGAGTGCGTGTGACAAGCCAATGGCGGCCACCCTCAGGAAGCAGACGAGGGTCGGCATGCTGACACGGCCACTGGAGGAGCTTACGAGTTCACCCGCGCTCACGAGTACTCATGCTAAACGGACGGTCGTGCAAGCGCACAGGCATCTTCGGGAGATTTCGCTTGCTCCCGGTGGCACTCCTATCGACACGTATCTCGCCGACGCCGCTATTCGCCTGCAGCCTTCTACGCTGCCAAGGCAGAGAGTGGAACGAACAACATGGGCTTGCGAAGCTTCCACATCACGGCGCCAAACAAGGGGTGCACGCCGGAGCAGCGGCGGCTGCGCGGGCCCGGCTGCAGTCCTACTCTCTAGGCCGGCCGTGTCTGTGCGTGCCGGCCCGGATGACCAGCGTTGGCGGACGTACCTGGCCGCTGCCGGCGTCACCGCATGCTGGCGGCCACGCTGTGCTTGTGATACGCGTGGCGGCCCACGAACCGGCAGTGGCACTGGCGCGCGTGCCCACCGTCGCGGCCGTCGGACGCCAAGCCGAAGCTGGAAAAGCGCACTTGGCTGTCGCAGTAGACGTCGTCGTACGGCGCCCCGTCACATGGGCTGCTCAGTCTCGGATGAGGAATCGACCTGCGTACAGCGACAGGGTGAGGAGTTCGACGAGTTGAGAAGCTATATCCACGCACAGTTTCTGTAGGAACGTTTAGTTTGACGTGCGAATCAATCAAACCAGTTTCCTGGTGCATGAGCGAGTGAAACTTGTGCTGGAGGCCGTCGTTGCAGACATGGCTGCACACGAAATTTCGTAGTTTTAAACATTACTTCGAGTCAGGACGCTGACTTTCATAAAAAAAGAAAACGTGGCTGATCCCCCTGCATAGAAATCGTTATAACACAAAAGCTAAGCGTGTCTTTACAGAAGTAGTTGAGTGTTTATTGAGCATTGTTTCAGCAACAGTAACGAATTCAGTAACGTCACCTTAAGAACGGCAAGCAGCTCGAAACTTCTCACGCCCACCTCAAGCAGAAAGCACGCATGAAATAAGCATACACAGGACGAGCGCAGACTAACAACTGTCACAGCTCGACACTTAAAGTGCGCTGTCGTTCTGTGAACAAGCCCACAAGTATACACAGTAAAAGCGCGAACAACTGTCACAATTCTTCCTGCGTCGTCTGTCAGCGCGCTTCTTTAGTAAACGCGGCCGCGGCAGCGTGCGAAGTGACCTTCCTCTACACCCGAATTACGAATCAGATAGGCGCTTGCGCAGGAGAGACCACGCTCCGTGGAGGCGGCGTTTCGGCGAGGCGACGAACTTCAGAGCGCGCCTAACGTGAGCACGTCTCGCCATCTCGCCACTGATAACGAAAACGCGCTGACGTTTCGAAGCTCTGAAGACTGCCAAACGGTGTGCGGTGTATATAAATGCGTTGGCGTTAACACACGTGGTTCGCGTCACGCGCCTTGAATCGAGAGGTTAGTGGTTCGATTCAGCGCAACGAATACTTGCCTTCTGTTTTCTTTTTTTTTTTCAGCGATTTCTCAGTATACAATTTTCGACGAATTTCCGTGACGGAAGTACGTCAGCACAGCCGTGATGAACCCCGGCATGAAACAATTTCGTAATAAATAGAAAAAAAAATCTGCATGTAAAATTTTTCAAATGTGGTGCAAGAAAGACAGACGTTCAGGAAAAGATGCTGACTTCAAGTGATGGATAGTCGTAAAGAAAGTATGTCACTGGCTTCAACCACATTACTTGTGCAACGAGTTATTGCAAATCAAAATGATGAGGGGGGGGGGGGCGGATTGCTTTAATGTTTTGCTCTTATAAGATATCCCTTAAGAACAACGCACCAATTGTTGTCAAGCAATGCTCCCTGGTCTGCCGATTTACACGTTGACATTTCTCCCCATCTTTGCCCCAAGTGAAGTAGTTCAGTCATTGAGGCAGACTCGTCTATACCTCATATGGAGGTGGACGACTATTTACCAACGCGTGGTCGAACAAATTCGGCTGCACTACGGTGGCACCACCTCTCCTGAAAGAGGACCCCGCGCACGCCTATGACGACTCTCACTTCTAGGTTCGTGATTGAAACAACAACAACAACAACAACAACAACAACAACAACAACAACACAACAACAACAACAACAACAACAACAACAACAACAACAACAACAACAACAACAACAACAACAACAACAACAACAACAACAACAACAACAATAATAATAATAATAATAATAATAATAATAATAATAATAATAATAATCTATCATTTATTTAAGATGCCCAGGAACAACCATAAAGTCTTTGTACAGGCGCACGCAAAAATAAAACAATAAGAATAAACAATACAACGCAGACAGCCTTCAGAGAAAGAAATCAATTAAAAAGAGCGATAACATACAGCCCAAAATAAATCAGTGCAAACTGAGAAGAATAAAAATCAAGACGAGAATCATGGAATGAGAGAGAAAAATAAAAGGGAATATACACAACTATGTGGATGGCTCCGGAAAAGGGAAGAATCTCTACATTGTGATAAACTATGTTAAGACAGAGCAAAGCTGAGATAAAAACAATGACATTGGATTGTTAAAAAACATCAAGATTATGGAATTTCACACTGTAGAGAATTTGTATTCTGTGAACAGTAGATTGTTGAAAGAAGTTGGCAGGTACATGAAATGGTTGATTCTCTCGAGTTAACTTACGCGGAATCTGAAAATTTGCATAACTGTAAGGGCAGGATATCATACCGTCCACTAGTTTGTAAAGAAACAACAGGTCGGGGCAATTTTAACGGCAGTGAAGTGGTGACAAAGACAGTAATCTGACAACGCTGGAACGAGATCCAGAGTCATTTCTAGCGAAATGATGATTATAAATGCTTATGAAAGTTTTTTTCTGGACCCGCTTAATGGCGTCCCTGCCAGATTTAGCATTGCCATTGCAGATCCCATATGCATATACAAGTTGAGGAAGACATGTTGCGGTGTACAACTTCTGGAAGGCTGTAGGAGAACTGAATTCTTGAGAGATTCTGCAAGCACAGCCGAGAGATGTGCACGGCAGTATACTAAACGGCATACTAAACGTGCATGTCAACATGTTTAGTGTGAGCGGAAAAAAAGGAAACGTGGGATTTTACGTCCCAAAGCAGGGCTTGTTAGGGACACCGTAGTGGATGGCTCCAGAGATCACGACCATCTGGTGTTGAACGTCCCTGACATCGCACAGTACACGGGCCATTTCGCCTCCGTCGTAATGCGACCGCCACGGCCGGGGTAGGACCCGCGAATTTCGGGACAGCAGACGAACAGCATATATAGCCGCTGATCTGACGAGGCGGACGACACTGAGATAAAGCGTCACCGTATTAGAGCGGCGATGGCGTAGTAGTTAGAGCATCCGCCTCACTTGCAAATGGTTTGTGGCTCGAATTTCGGTGCCGCGCAGTTACCAACCGAATAAAGAAAAAGAAAATCCGCGTGGTGATGGAACTGCATTAAGAGGTCCTGGGGTGCGGCCTCACCGGTAACCACCGCCAGTAACGCACTCCCTCTCCAGAGATGGATTGGCCACCCCGGTGCAGTATCTGACCCCTACGTCCTACATACATTCGTCAATTAACTCACGGCCCCCAGTCTCCAGCAGCTGCGAAGCAACTGACCAGGGTGGTGGTCAGATCTGCAACGCAGCAGAGGATGCTAAGAATCTCTGGATACGGACAGGCCGCCATTGGAACCTGAACTTGGCAACGTTTAACGCTAGGACCTTATCTAGTGAGGGAAGTCTAGCTGTACTATTCGAGGAGCTATAGGGTGTTAAATGGGATATAATAGGGCTCAGTGAGGTTAGGAGGAGAGATGAGGCCTGTACTACGGTGCTACAAAATGGGCACGTCCTTTGCTATCGGGGCTTGGCTGACAGAAGAGAACTGGGAGTGGCGTTCCTAATTCACAGAAACATAGCTGGCAACATAGAGGAATACTATAGCATTAATGAAAGGGTGGAAGGTATCATAATTAAACTGAATAAATGATACAAGATGAAGGTGGTACAGGCATACGCGCCTACATCCAGCCATGATCACGCTTCAGTTGACAGCTTCTATGAAGGCGTAGAATCGGCAATGAGTAAAGTAAAAGCAAAGTATACTATAGTGATGGGCGACTTTAATGCAAAGGTAGGGAAGAAGCAGGCTGTAGACCAGGCAGTAGGAGATTATGGCATCGGTACTAGAAACGCCAGAGGAGAGCTACTAGTAGAATTCGCAGAACGCAATAATTTACGGATTTTGAATACCTTCTACTGATAACGAGAAAACCGCAAGTGGACATGGAGGAGCCCTAATAGCGAAAACAAGAATGAAATAGACTTTAAAATGAGCGCACACCCAGGAATCATTCAGGATGTGGAAGTGGTTGGCAAGGTACGATGCAGTGACCATAGAATGGTGCGGTCTCGAATTCGCCTAGACTTGAACAAGGAACGACAGAAACTGATACGCAAGAAGCCAATCAATGAGCTAGCACTGAGAGGGAAAGTACAGGAATTCAGAGTGCCACTGCAGAACAGGTACTCGGCTCTTAGTGAGGAAACCAACCTTAGCCAATGAATTATAATCTGACGAGTATCATTACGGAGTGTGCAGTGGAAGTTGGAGGCAGCGTAGTTAGACAGGACACTGGCAAGCTTTCCCAGGAAACGAAGAACCTAATTAAGGAGCGTCAAATCATGAAAGTCTCAAGTACAGCAGACAAAATAGAACTGGCAGAGCTTTCGAAGTTGATTAATAGACGTAAGGTATGCGATGTAAGAAGGTATAACATGGAGAGAATTGAACACGCTCTGAAAAACGGAGGAAGGGTCAAAGCAGTGAAGAGGAAACTTGGGATAGGCAAAAGTCGGATGTATGCACTAAGGGACAAAGAAGGCAAAATAACTACCAATATGGATAGGATAGTTAAAATAGCGGAGGAGTTTTAAGAGATCTGTACAGTAGCCGGGATAACCACGACCTTAATACTAGGAGCAGTAACCCAGATGACACCCCACCAGTAATGATGGAAGAAGTCAGAAAAGCTTTAGAGAACATGCAAAGAGGCAAAGCTGCTGGTGAGGATCAGGTAACATAAGATCTGCTGAAAGATGGAGGACAGATTGTGTTAGAAAAACTAGCCACCCTGTTTACGAGGTGTCTCCTGACGGGAAGAGTACCAGAGTCTTGGAAGAGTGCTAACATCATTTTAATACACAAGAAAAGAGATGACAAGGATTTGAAGAATTACAGGCCTATCAGCTTGCTCTTTGCAGTATACAAGCTATTTACAAAGGTAATTCCTAACAGAGTAAAGAAACCATTAGAATTCAGTCAACCAAAGGAACAAGCAGGATTTCGAACAGGCTACTCAACAATCGACCACATTAATACCATCAATCAGGTAATAGAGAAATGCTCAGAATATAGCCAACCACTATACATAGCCTTCACTGATTACGAGAAGGTGTTTGATTCAGTAGAAATATCAGCCGTCATGCAGACACTGCGGAATCAGGGCGTCGATGAAGCATATATAACCACCCTGAAATAAATCTACAGGGGATCAACTGCTACCATAGTGCTTCATAAGGAAAGCAACAGAATACCAATCAAGAAGGGTGTAAGGCAGGGGGACACAATCTCCCCAATGCTATTTACCGCGTGCTTACAGGAGGTTTTCAGAAGCCTAGATAGGGAACAGTTAGGGATAAGAGTTAATGGAGGGTACCTTAGTAACCTGCGCTTTGCCGATGACATTACATTGCTGAGTAACTCAGGGGACGAATTGCAACTCATGATTACGGAGTTAGACAAGGAGAGCAGAAAGGTGGGTCTTAAAATTAATCTGCAGAAAACGAAAGTAATGTACAACAACCTCGGAAAGGAGCACCACTTCGAGATAGGTAATAGTGCACTTGAAGTTGTAAAAGACTATATCTACTTAGGGCAGGTATTAACCGCGGAGCCGAACCACGAGATTGAAGTAACTAGAAGAATAAGAATGGGGTGGAGCACAGTTGGCAAGCACTATCAAATTATGACAGGTAGATTGCCACTATCCCTCAAGAGGAAGGTATATAACAGCTGTATCTTGCCGGTACTTAGCTACGGAGCAGAAACCAGAAGACTTACAAAGAGGGTTCAGCTTAAATTGAGGACGACGCAGCGAGCAATGGAAAGGAAAATGGTAGGTGTAACCTTAAGAGACAAGAAGAGAGCAGATCAGATTTGGGTGCACGTTAAAAAACCCCAGGTGGTCAAAATTTCCGGAGCCCTCCACTACGGCGTGTGTTATAATCATATGCTGGTTTTGGGACATTAAACCCCACATATCAAATCAATCAAATCAAATCAAAGAAGAGAGCAGAGTGGATTAGGGAACAAACGGCGGTTAAGGATATCATATTTGAAATCAAGAAGAGGAAATGGACATGGGCCGGGCATGTAGCGCGTAGACAGGATAACCACTGGTCATTAAGGGTAACTAACTGGATTCCCAGAGAAGGCAAGCGGGTTAGGGGGAGACAGAAGGTTAGGTAGGCAGATGAGATTAAGAAGTTTGCGGGTATAAATTGGCAGGACGGGTTAACTGGCGGAATATGGGAGAGGCCTTTGTCCTGCAGTGGACGTAGTCAGGCTGATGATGATGATGATTAGTACTTAAGGTTTTCATCAGCCCTCGATGTGAATTTTCAAGAAAGTTTTGAAAACCATAAAGTCACAATTTTTCACGTGTACTTACTCGAAAAGTATCCAAACGATGTAGTAGCAAAGGCAAAACCCACCGACGAGTATTATTCCTATTATCATGCTGAACAACATTGGAACGCGTCTCTCCTGAAACATAATAAAGAGGATGAGGAAAAATCTTATTTACGATCAGGAGCACAGATGAAAGGTGGCACTGATCTGTCTTCATATTTTCTGACTAAACGAATATCACTGACCTCGTTCAGGGAATCGTCCCAGTACTTATTGCAGGTGAGGTAAGAGCAGATGTTATTGTTGAGTTCATCTGAAAGAAATGTAAAGAAAAAACAGCGCTACAGAAGCGTTCTCTTGCGTGTAAGAGGAAGATGGGAGAAGGAATTAAAAAAGAAATGCTTCGGTTTCATTGTCGACATCGGTCGCATGTGAGTTTCAATGCGCGTTTCGGCATTGGAGCCATTTTGAAATGTCAACGGTGACTCACCTTCAATGTCTTGGAAATCTTTGACTGAAAGAACAGACAGCAGTCCAATGACGCACTGCTGTACAACGATCTGGAAGAAGTGGGATGGAATAATGCTACAAACACAGCTTAAAGCCTATATATATATATATATATATATATATATATATATATATATATATATATATATATATATATATATATATATATATATATATATATATATATATATATATATATATATATATATATATATATATATATATATATATATATGCTATGATTATTATAAGAATTATTTCACTAAGGGAATAGCTTGCTGCATTACAGCAGATGAGTGAGCAGCACAGAGAAATCTTCGACTTTGTAGCAACAAGTTGTTATGTGTATACACGTTATGTGTATGTTTCCTATGTTTGATGTACAATTGACTCTATGTCTGCTACTGCATTTACTTTGCTAATGTTTAAACATCGTGTTATTATCAAACTGTTTACAAACTATAGCCAACAGAAGTTTCGCAGGAGGTGTCTATACTGTATTTGGACATATACTGCGGACAGGGGTAGTCTCCTCGATGATAATATATTAGTTCTAACAATTTTACGTCACATAACCACGATATGATAACGAGGAACGCCGTATGGTAGAAAGCTCCGCAAATTTCAGCCACCTGGGGTTGTTTATTGTGCATCTAAATCAAAGTCCACAGGCCTCTAGCATTAAGCGTTGCGGGATCGAATCCCACGACCTTCGGTCCCTAAATGTTTCTAAAACGGTGGTGCTACATAATTTAACAAACGCTTTATATAAAGAAAAAAGTTTTAAATTGGATGTAAACGTTGAGGAGGCTTTTTGTTTTGTTTCTACGTGATACGGATGCGGCAATACATGGACGCCCAAAGATTCAGGGCAAGTTCAAACGCATATGCATAAAGTCTATAGTGCTCAGGTAATGAAACGTGATAGGCCGGGCCTATACTGGAAGGCTGCTGGCGCTCTTCGCGCAATAAATGAACTCTGGGTGACAGCTCGTGTAGTGTCAAACGCTTATAGACTCAAAAGCCCGCGATTTAGTTGCGTTTGTCACTATACGCTGCTTGTCGGTCGAAAACGAGTGCCCACAACCTCCAAGTGTCGCGTTTCGATCTCTGAGCACTGTACGCACAGCATACCGTGGCTGAGACCTAGTACAACTGCAGGAAAGGCCTAAAGACGACTGTGCGGAACTCGCTGCGAATATTGAAGGAAATTCCCGCTCCCCGCGGCTGCCTGGTGATCAGCAATGAATGCCTGTCTCACACACATGTATGTATGTATATAGATGCAAGCCGTGTGGGTTAGGGGGCCCCCTTTATAGAAGCTGGACGTTGAACAAAGGAAGACTCTACATTGATAAACTTCTTGATAACTTTGACGTTGTTCATTTTACCTTCAAAGCATTATAACAAATGAGAAAATCAACTTCAAAGTGTCGTTTTTGAATTTCGCTGATAAATACCACACGTGACTCCCAGATTCCAAAGAATTTTTTTTTGTATTCTGGTGACATTGACTGAACTAAATTTCCTTACACTTGGTATGTTAGGTCTAGGGATAGAGCATGATATACTTCATTTTTACTTTTTAGGAACTCTGTAGATGTTGTTAAAATAGATGACGTCACGGTGCATGGATAGGACATTTCAAGATGGCGTCACCATCCGCATTTTCTTTTGCGAGTTTTTTTACGCTAACCAAGTGTCTTCTCCGGGCAAGCGTGCGTGTTTTGGAATTGTAAAAAGAATAATTTCTAATATGGGCGGAAAACCGTCTATCTCTCAATGACGATGACCGTCGTTAGACGGAGTGTTACTGCAAAATGTTGGTTCCGCAAAGTGTTCGCAGGTTGGAACAAACCACTGGGACCGTCGTTTTCGAGTTCACGGACCGAGTAACGTGGAAGCTCCCACCGCGAGCACACGTACCCGGCACTTTTGCTGCAAGGCGCTCATGTGTTTCTGGTCGCAAGAGCAACGTGGATGGTCGGCGGGCGGCTCACCACAGCGGCCGCCGAGGACCTCCACCTCCTTGGGCTTGTCGGGCAAGGTGGCTGCGACCGCCGATCCGCCGGCCGAGGCACGTTCAGCGGCCGCCAGCCGGGGTCCCAGCACATCGCAGCGCAGGATGTCGCAGTAATCAGCCAGGCACACCCCCCGCTCCGCCTGCGAGCATTTCTCTGTTGGGCATTATTTTCCAACATTCTATTGATCGGCGGTCACCTTCTAGAGAATGATTTCCGCGCGACATGTTAAGTATGCAGGGCAGTCGCCGTTCCTTCGCGGTGACTGCAGCGCGAGGTGAGAAGCAAGATTGTGGCAAGAGGCTGTGATCGAAAACCTATGCCGTTTCACTGTCCTGCCATTCGGTGCGATGCGGTTGAATTTACTGTGCTTAGTAATGTATTGAACGCTGGATACAAAGCGTGAGAATAATTTCTCACAAGCACCAGGGCGCGAGAGCCCCCTTTCGTTAACATATAGTAATATACCAGCATTCCCTTCTACTGATACATAAGCACCACTGTGCGGTCACTGCAGCTTCTCTCGTGGCAGGAAGTGTATGCACGACGAGAGAATCTGGCAAGTTGGCCATGAGTCGCGGTTCACGTGGCAAGTCACCTTGGGGGCCACGCTGGCCGCGTGCTCCTCGTCCCAATGACTGGTGAGCTTCTCGTGGCAGAAGAAAGAGCGGCCACACATGGGGCAGCTCCAGCTGGGCTGGTCGGTGGCCTCGTCCGCCATCAGTCCTGCCGGCCACCAGAACAGGTCGCGACTAGGGTGCAGCGGGCACTCGGGCCCCAGCGAGACGCGGTAGCGCTGGAGCACGGCAGTCACCTTGCGGCGCACCAGCTGGCGTGCCACGCGCGACTGAGCCCGCGAACAGGGCTGCACGCGCGGCGAGGACGGCCCATTCCAGCCCACGTGCGACAGGAGCAGCAGGATTACCACCTGCGTTCCGGTGGTCGAGACGACATGCTCCCAATGATCATGGTGGGAAGGACGTGCGAGTGCTCATCTACTGATTCGCCGATAATAATAATAATAATAATAATAATAATAATAATAATAATAATAATAATAATAATAATAATAATAATAATAATAATAATAATAATAATAATAATAATAATAATAATAATAATAATAATAATAATAATAATAATAATAATAATAATAATAATAATACCACTAGACTATCATAGCGGGGTGTTGGTACTTCATTACTGATCGCAGATTTCTCACAACTGCAATTATTAGCAACACGAGACAATCATCATACACCAGATGCAAAATCATTATCGCGCAGTTTCAATAGCGTTGAGATGGTTTGCGCTTAAGCGTAGCAGCCACCTGTGCAAATTATGAGATCAGAGTTAAAACATCTCTACATTTACGCTGTTTCCACTATACTTGCCTCAATTTTATTCATTTATTTCCCGTCCTATTTGTTTGAGCATATCACGGCGAATGACACATGGGTAAGAGCACACGGCTTCTCCAGACATATGCAGAAACACACTCTCAATTTTGTTTCTCAAGAAGAGGAATTAGAGAGCGTCTTTTAGCACAGCACGTCATTAAGTATGCTCGCTAATGAAATCATCGTGCCCCGCACCATAAAGCCAAAGCACACTCGTGAAAAAAGCTTGAGGTCTCTGCCTTCCTTCACAAGTGTGTGTAGTACCATTAAAAAAGCTTATTTGGGTGAAGTAGAAAAAAACTGCACATTAAAAGCTTTGTAACGGTGAGGCGACACGATCCCTCAATTTCTACTGCGCCTCATAACCACACAGATCTCACAAGCATAAACAAGTGATCCAAAAAGCTCAAAGCCTGGAATTTCTCAGCTTAGTCGAAATGAGTAGCCTGATGCTTGCGTTAATAAATTTTACGTGCAGTTAATGAGTTTACTCGGTCATAAATGTTGTGCCCAACACAAGTACTCAAGGAAAAGCAGGAAAACGGGTGCTGGCTTCGAGAAACAACAGCTCATTCCCACAGCGCGGAACATTTTCTTTCTCTTCATTTTAGTTTGGGTTGAGAGTAATCGCACTAATGAAAAACCAGTCACCTGATAAATACGATAGACAAGTAATTTGGGCACTTGGTAACCCGACACTCAGCAGCCCGTTATAATCCGCCAACTGTAGTTTCCTTACGCATTTGCGTTCGGCTTCTCCACAAAGATACTCTGCTTGCGGAGATGCCAACGTAACGGGGTCGTCTCGCGACGCGACATCGCAGGTCGATAATGGAGTTCATACAAAAGCCAACATTCGGCCGACTGTTTCGAAAGACCATTGCATCGACGTTCGAGGTGCGCTTTCGTTTCGCGTGCCTCTCAGGCAAAATGAGATGCTTTGTCACGGTAACGGAATGTCGCAGAACAACGTTAAAATTGTAGCTTGGCGTGAATTTCAAATCAGCGTTTTAAGAGATGGCTGGAAACGTTAACTAATAAAAGGGCAGGGGGGGGGGAGTGAATTGGGTCATCGCAGCAGGTTTGTGTCAGTCTCTACTGCATGCACCTATGCTTAAAGAATCAGAACGACACGCAGAATCTTTTGCGGGAGACCCAACGTACAGGCGAAACCGAGTCGCACTCAGGTGTCTCGGGTCGCAGCAGCACCGTGTTTCGAACGACGGCGCTGCCGTCGTGGTTAAGAGAGGGGGGCCGCCACCCAGTGCTGCCATGACGCGCGCACACGGTTGTTGGTAAACAAGCGCTGTTCCGGTGGCATACCCCCAGTGGTACTCCACCGGGCACAGAAGCGGCCACTTACCTCGACGCAGAGGTAGCTGCGATACATTTATTTTCACATCTAGGCCCTCACAGTGTTGCGGGCTCGGGGCAAATCCAGTCGTGCCCAGGGTGCGAGCAAACCTCCGCGGTCGCCGACCGCCATCTTGGCTGCGCTGCAAGAGGGTCGATAGCAGCCCAATTAATCGACGGCAACTCTCCGGGAACACCGCTGCGCGCGCTCGAGCACTTTCGATCGGGGCCCGCACAGCGCCCCCTTGCTGGGCGGCAGCACTGGGCGCTGTCCCACCAGGGAAAGTGCGCCGTATTCTCTCTCAACAGGTTGCTCGCGGCACACATACGGCGCTGCCCCGCGCCATCCCCCAAGGAGTGAATTGCATGTGAGCCTGTGCCCTCTTTTGGGATTAGTGTGGATAAGGCGCGTTATCCGACGTTATAGCTCCCACTTGGCCCTTGCGCAGATCACACGTGAATGTTATATCGCCGTTCAATTAGCGTCACCCCGTAATCTGTGCGGCCTGACCTTTCAGTAACTTATCAGGGAGCTTTAGTGGCGGAGAGCGTAGCCACTTGCGTAACACCCTTTTACACTCATTGGTGCCACCGCATTCAAGAATAATACAAAGGAACGACACTAAAACTCCCCATTAGACAATTTTAGAGTACGTGACGCGGAGTTTCGAGTTGGAATTTGTCGTCACTACGTATGCTACCTCCTGGCGCAGCCACGTTAATTACGAAAGAGCGAATATACTACCCAACGAACGCTATGTAATGCTATAAACCATACCTTGAAAATTCGTCTATAAACGGACCCCGTGTGCAATAATAACCGTCGTTATGGCAACGTGAGCTTATCTTTGCATCTTCGTAAATTCTAGAAGCAGTGATCCGAACGAAGGCCAGATGATGAGTATATACCGATAGAGGACGATAGAGGTCTCGATGATGATGATGATGATTTTGGTGAGCGTGCTATACGAGTGGGGAAAATGAAGAGTGAATATATCCCTTGCAATATTTCTGAAACCTGGTGAGAGTTGGCTATTGCAGGACCTGTTCGTATGGTGCGCCCATACGCCATACAGCTGTATCATTTGCAATACTCCGTCTCGGGGCACGAGGCTTTGTGTCCCATACTGGGATTAATAAGCCTTCAGAAAAAAGGGAGCTGGATTTGAGTATAAAAAAGGTTTACCACACGCTTCCCTATCCAATGCCTAAAAAAAGAAGAAAAAAAACCCCAAGAAGTTGAAGACAAGTTTCCACCATGAGGGCCAAACGTTGAAAGTTGCATCTGCTCGGATGGTCCTTCGTCATAGTGTAATACCGATGTTATTTTTTTTTTCGTTAGAATATAAAGCATATAGGCACCGTGCAGTAAAGATTTCCAGTGAGGCTGCAGCGCACAGAATGCAATGCCCAGTGGAGAAAAAAAAACGCGATAATAGGTTGGGGTCAGTCCAAATGGAACGCGATGCTCGCGTATCCCGTGTGAGTGGACGGATTGTAGCAGGGATACACGGGGACGCGTCTGTTTTCTGCGTGCCCCTAACGGTCAACGTCAGCGAACTTATAGGATGGGCTAGTGTCCATCTGGTCAGCTCCCTCTGGTCAGCGGACAGTGCCTACTGCGAATGCCACGTGACGGTGCCACTTTTACGCTAGATCTTTTTGTTTGTCTATGAGGTTGTTGTTGTTTTTTAATTTTCGAAAAGGAGGCTAAAGAAAAAAAACTAAATCAATTTCGATTCATAAGTTTTAAGAAATTCTAGGTTGGTTACTTTTGCGATCATATGTTTGCTATAGGAAGAATGGAATGAAATGAAAAAGCTTTATTTCAGTCCTGCAGGACGCGCTTAGCGCGTAGCGGGCGTCTCCTACGTAGGGACCGACAGGGAGTACCTGGCGGCAGCTCAATTGTTTTCGGAGTCTCGAGATAATATAAGAGTCCTTTCTGGAGTCGAGGGTTGTTAAAGGGCGGGCAAGTACGCGCTCCTCATGTTACAAACAGGCGCTGTCGAGGCCATCCAGCAAACCTATGCGCATGCACTTATTACTACACTCTAAAAAAAGAGCGAGTAAAAAGAGTGTCTTTTTGTCCCACAAAAATAATCGTCATCTTTAATGCGTTCCATCCCTGCGCTATCGCCCCCCTCGCCCGGTACATTCCGGTCACGATCGACATGCCCATTATCAGGTTTACATTGCATTCTCGATAAGAAAGTGGCCAGCGCCGAGTTTTCAAGAAAGGAAGCGCAGGCAAGCCTGATGACGATTATTGTTGTGGGAAAAAAAGACACCTTTTTTACTCGATACTTTTTTTAGAGTGTAGCTTTTACATAACGGCGAACTCGCCAGCCGAATGTTACATTTAACTGCACGTGAGAAATGACAACGCCAATAAAACACGCATACACAACCTAATGGCGTTCACAAAATGCGGCGTCGCCGACGTTCGACTCGTCATGAGAGTCCGCGGCACGGAATCGTTCCCACTGACCTCCCATGAAAGACGACGACCGCCGACCCAAGCGCCAAGCCGCGAAAAAAGAGTAAGCGCGCGAACGAGTTTGTCACGTGGTACTTTTTTGTATTTCGCGGGCATTTGTCCACAGCAGAAAAACACTAATACTTAACAGATATAAAGTTCAAAACTATCTATTTGGACGTTTTGCAAACCGATCTACAACTTTCTCATTGAAATTATTTATCTATATTCGGTCATTCAAAAGTTAGCTCATTATACAGATCTAATTAAACAATTATTATTTGAGAACACAATAAAAAAAGTCTGACTAACTCCAGGCAGCGGTGAGCAACATGCAATTGGTTGCATCGTAATTGCGTGTTCCGGCATATATTTAAACTCTGGCTGGCTAAAGTTACGTGGGACACCCGGCACATATGTATATATATATATATATATATATATATATATATATATATATATATATATTATATATATATATATATATATATATATATATATATAGTGCCACGAACGTAATTACAGACAGCGACGAAACGACGTCTTGCTTGCTCTCAGACCGGGACGCAAAAGCCCTCTTCTTTCTTCACTTCCAAGGGATTCCCCCTACAGTTGATGGCTCATACCCATTACCTGTGACATTACTCCCTCTCCTCGAAAAGCATCGGCTCGATGCTGGTAATGAACGTTGAGAAAAAAAATTAGAAAGAAAAGATGCTACCATGGAACCCAACAACTCCGTCGTAAGGGGAAAAAAATGGGCTGGCGTCATAGAAGTACTCAATAAAGAAAGGAGTAAGTACACAAGACAATAAAAAAAACAAAGTGACAAAAAAATAGTCATTGCATGGTGAGGTAGTCCACGTTCGATGTATGACGCGAGAAATATGGCTTGAGTCTTGACACGTGCACCACATCACTTTGTGGAAACCGACGGGAACGTCTTGAGGCGCCCTCAGGGAGAACTTTATACGTAACGTCACTGAGTCGGCGCAAAACTTTGTAAGGGCCGAAGTAGCGCCGAAGCAACTTCTCAGAGTGACCACGCTGTCGGATGGGAGTCCACACCCAAACTTCATAGCCTGGTTTGAAGGTAACCTCTCGGTGTGTAAGGTTGTAGCGGTGTGCGTCGGCAGTTTGGCGAGCCTGAATACGGCATCGGGCGAGTTGACGGGCCTCCTCGGCGCGTTGAGCGAACAATGCAGCGTCCGTGTTGAACATGCTCAAGTTGTTGGGAAGGAGCATTGCGTCGAGAATTGTAGTGACCTCTCGACCATGACCTAAGCGAAATGGGGTGAAACCTGTACTCTCTTGGACTGCTGTATTGTAAGCAAAAGTTACGTAAGGGAGTATATCATCCCAGTTCTTGTGATCAACGGCCACATACATTGATAGCATATCTGCAATGGTCTTGTTCAACCGTTCAGTGAGTCCATTTGTTTGGGGGTGATAACCCGTGGTTTTCCGATGTTCTGTACCACTTAGTCTCAGCACTTCTTGAAGCATCTCTGCGGTGAAAGCTGTACCACGATCAGTAATTATTACAGCTGGCGCTCCGTGACGAAGTACGATGCTGGTGACAAAAAACTGTGCGATTTCGGCTGCGGTAGCTTTGGGCAGGGCCTTTGTTTCACTGTAACGCGTTAAATAATCAGTGGCAACCACAATCCACCGGTTTCCAGACGAAGAGGTGGGAAATGATCCGAGCAAGTCAATGCCAAATTGATGGAATGGTGTCTTCGGCGTGGCGATAGGCTGTAGTAGTCCTGCTGGTCGGACAGGTGGAGTCTTACGGCGTTGACAGTCGCGGAATAAGCGGACGTACTGCTTGACTGTCTTCGCGAGGTGGGGCCAGTATTATGAGCGGCGAATTCATTCCAATGTGCGCGTGTAGCCAAGGTGTCCGGATGATGGTTCGTCGTGACAAGCATGTAAAATATCGTTCCGAAGCGAGGTCGGCGCAACCAGTAGGTAAGTAGCCTGGATATGGTCAAAATTTTTCTTATAGAGGACTCCATCCCTGATGCAGAACGAGGCCAGCGAACGTGCGAAGTTTCGAGGAAGGCTGCGTTTTCGGCCTTCGAGGTAGTCAATCAGCAGGCTTAGCTCCATGTCGTCGCGTTGTTGTTGAGCCAAGTCGGTTGCTGACACAGAGGAAAGGAATGTATCGTCCTCTTCAACGTCCGCGTTCGTACTTCCAATTGGTGCACGTGACAGACAGTCAGCATCAGTGTGTTTGCGTCCTGACTTGTGAATGACTGTAACGTCAAATTCTTGCAGCCGAAGGCTCCAGCGTGCTAGACGACCGGAAGGGTCTTTGAGGTTGGCGAGCCAGCATAAAGAATGGTGGTCGCTAACTACCCTGAATGGTCGACCGTATAAATAAGGGCGAAACTTTGTTATAGCCCAAACAACGGCTAAGCATTCCTTTTCTGTTGCAGAGTAGTTTTTCTCTGCAGATGATAGTGTTCGACTTGCATAGGCAATCACGCGCTCTACGCCATTTTGCCATTGAACCAGTACAGCTCCAAGTCCGACGTTGCTTGCATCCGTGTGTA